ACACAAACCAGTTACGAGAAAACGCAAACTTGAATCACTTAAATGATTATTTAATCCACCAAAATTTCAAAATCGAATTTATATATATATATATATATAAATATATATATATATATATATAATATTAAAAATTAAGCGGCTATTAAATATAATAAAATTACTAAAAAAAAGTTTATTTTGTTTCACAACAACACAAAAAAGTGTTGAATACGTCGATTCCAAACGATATTTTATTTTTGATGTAAATAACAAAAACTTATGTTATAATTTTGAAATAAATAAATTACATCGCGTCCTACTTTTTTTTAAAATTGACATCTAGTCCAACATAAGATATATATATATATATATACGTATATATATATATATATATATATATATATATATAACACGATATTTTCCCATCCGCGTAAGACGATAGGCATAAAAATCCTAAAATAGGTTTATCTGGCTCTTTAGGTTGGTAAGACGATAATTATTTTTTCCACCATACTTTTGTATTGATAAACTTTATTTATTATTTTAAGATGATAAAACGTATCCGAATTTTTTTTTTCCATTTGGATCTGAAAGACGATGCTAAACGATTGTCATCCACGGGATATTCTGGCGATTTGAAAACATGCCTATTTTTTCCTGGGTAATATTTTAATCAAATGAAATTGGGTAATGAAAGGCATCTAACGTTTTGGGGAAGATGATAAATTTATTGCTTATATTTATAAGACGATAAATTTATATATATATATATATATATATAAATAAATTACACTAAACGATGGGGATGAATTACTTAATTATCTCAAATCCTCTAAAGAATAAACTATCATTTTATATCCTTAATTAAGAAAATATGTTTCTAATGCGCCCTGGAACCAAGTGACGATGGTGATATTAATCGTGGCTCTGGGTAGTTACAGAAAACTAATTTAAATGTCTTTGATGTCTTTACATGACGGAAAATCCGGGTGAAATATTACAAATTCATCTGATTCCATCAAGTTCTGTCTTTGAACACCCTGCTTTATTATTTTCATGTCAATGTAATTTTGATTTTTCAATTCTTATGTAGTGCAATGGGGTGTAGAAATGATGAGGGTTCAAAAAAATCGTTGTTTTCTGCATTCTGCTGATTTTTTTCTAGACTCGATGAATTACTTAATATATATATTTATATATATATATATATATATATATATAAATATATATATATATATATATTTATATGAAAGAATGGTGATGTAATGGCAAAACTTATTTGCGGAACAATTATAGAGAGCAATTTTTTTGGGGAAAAATACATCAAGCAATACTTTTTTGGGAAAAAAAAACCAGCAATAAAATACTTTTGGGTATTAAATATATGTGAAATATTTATATATAAATCAAATATAAACAGCAGAAAGACCAAATTTCTGTAATTAAATTAAAAATTTTTATCAAAAGAAATATGCAAAAATTCAAATTGAATAAATTAAATGGTGAATTTAATTCTGAAAATTTTAAATCCCTTTATTTTATTTTCAACTAAAAAATTAAATTTTTTGAAAAAAACTCATTATTTTTTGAATTTTTAACGGATATTGTATTTAGACAATAAAAAACATATTTAAAATCAAATAATTAATTTTTTTAATGTTGTTTGTAAATTTACATTGAGCACTAGTTTCAAAAATAAACCAACTGAAAAAAAAGACTGGATTAAATAGTTAGACAAATTCTTTTTTTATATATATATAAAAATATATAAATATATATATAATGGAGATTCTAATTGAGTTTTGACTATTTTTAACGAAGAAAAGATTTAATAGGAAAAGAAATGAGGCTTTGAATCAGAAATTCAAACATGTAATGGATGATGGTTATTAAATGTAAATTATTCAAAAAAAGGTATATCCAAAAACACATTACATTAACAATGGATAATAAACATCGGATCATAGTCTTGACCCAGACAGTAGAAAAACAAAAAAAGTGATTGAATGTAAGCGTGTCTCATAGCTTTTATGACAGTTGAATGGCTGAAATAATTGCAAATACATTTTCTACTTGAAATTATATAAAGATATATTTATAAATCAATCGTACAACACCAGCCAAAATGATTAAACACAACGACGAAAAGTTTCGCAAATATTTCTGCTGATATATCCGTAAAAAATTAGAATAAATATTTTTGTAAAAAAATTAACTAGTTAAATTGAAGTTCATATAACAAACAAAAAAAATGAGGTTGAATCAAATCTATAATGTCGAAAATAAAGGGATAGTTCATATATATATATATATATATAACGATATACAGTTATCATTTGAATATATATCAAAAATAGCAAGCAAAAGGGAGAAAAAAAAAAAAAGATATTTCAATTATATATATATAAAATAGTTTCTTAAAATACCTCCATAATATAATTCCAAAACATGCCTTTATGAAAATTTTTCCACCATATTAATCAATTTCAAACAAAAAACTCTTTTTAAAAATAAACGTTTTTCTACAAATTATTATCAGAGAATTTTTAAACATTATATTTAAATTTTAAAATTAAAATTGCATTGAAAATGGTCATTTTAAATAATCGTAATTCCAATTATAAAGGAAAGCCGGTCTTTATTTCATTCAAAATGAACAAAAAAATGAAATCGAAATGAGTCAGTTTTAATATTTTTCAAATTCTAAAAGGAATGTCCTCCAAGTAAACAACTCGCCTGTGTTTTCTATGTATAATTCGATATTATATTTTATAATTTTTATTTTTCCTCAAGGACACATGGAACAATGGATAATCGTATTTAAAATTAATCAGCATTGACAGGATCATCAAATTTTTGAGTTCAATTTTTAAGGTTTAGCGGAACTTTCTGAAGGGAATTATTTTACAAGAAGATATCTGCGTTTCCATTGAAATGGCTTTTTAAGGAACTAGAAGTTCTTCCCCAGTAAACGAAATAAATCCATTCAGTTTTATTATTTTAAATTTTGACCTGAAGAAAACCATATATATATATATATGAGAAATATATATTATAAAATGAAATTTGAATGACCTAAAAAATATCATCATAAAATTTTTTTGGTCATTAAATGTACAAAATGAATTTAAATTAATGTTTTTGTTATTTTAAAAAAAAATTTTAAAAAAATATTTTAAATATACATTTTTATTTAAATGAGGAATTAGAACTAAGACCTACTATAAATTTCAAGACAATATAGAGTTAAAAACATCAATATAATAATTTAAATTTAGAGTTGACATTCTGATAATTGAAGAAAAGTTTTTTGAATCTGTCTTGTTAATTTAATTTACAGTGGAATAAAAATTTTTAAACAGGTTCATGCCGTTTAAACACGAATTATTTGTTTCAATGAAATTTGGTGTTAATGAAAAGTATCGTATAGCGTTTTTACTTTCATAGATATAACGGGAAAAGACATAGGTTGGATTATTAAAAAATAAAAAAGAATGACCGATATAAAATTAAGTCAGGTTTTAAATGTAATGATGACTAATTGACTTTTGTAGAAATTTTTTATAAAACGCCAGGATCGTCTAAATTTTCTAAAAGAACAATTTTAGTTATATGTAATCACCGATATAGTGAAGGGCCTTGGGATCCAAGATGGCCGTTGGGTATTTAAAGTGAATCGCGTTATTTGGGCTATAATAGGCGGTTGAAAAATTGCCAGAATTTTACGACCCCTATTTGCCAGGAAAATCATGAATATATACCGTAGATAATGTTTTTAAAATATTATACTAATTTGTTAATGAAAACCAAAAATTTAAATGTTAAGCCCCGCATGTAACTTCTTAAATGTGGCACCATGCATCCTGACGATTTGAAAGAAATATTCATAGATATATGATTTTTTTTTTTACGGTTTATCAACCATTTAATAATTATTTAAGGCCGAAAAATATTTTGGGTTTTAAGAATAATTCTTTCTTTACATTCAAGCGATCTGGAAGAAAGAAAAGAAAACGAAGAAGAAAGAAAAAAAAAATAATACGAAAACAGGTCATAGGCGAACACACACACGCACGGCTGACAGATAACAGGTGTCGAAAAAATATCAGGTCAAGCATCTGACCGAGAATTGATCAATCAACGAAAATGGAAGTTGTTATCAATTGGTTTGGAATTGAAGAAACGAAGTTTAGGGACAATGAAAATATTGATAAGTAACAAGTGGAAATTGTGTCATTGAGATGATAGTAAAGGTCTAAGTGGGTGGAAAAGTGTATCTAAGGATATGAAGACAAACCATTAATACGAAAACACAGACAGTCTCAGAATTAGAAAAAAGCCCACACAAAGTGGTAATTTTTTTTTTTGACAAAAAATTTTTTTTTGAGATAATAAAGATTTTTTATTATCAGACCTTCGAGCGGAGGAAAAATGAAATATTTTTATTTCCGTTTGGAGAAACGCCAAATGAGTCTGAGAAATTCCTTTCTTAGATCATATCCAATTAGCGATAAACTGCTTGACAAATACCACGTGTTGAAAAAAAAGCCGAGGTGTCATCTCAGTCGCTCATGATAAGGGCGATTTAAATTAATATTTTTTTTTTTAAGCAAGGTATTTCTTTTCCCAAAACAAAGCCACGGATTGTCCACGCCCGACTAAAGACGTCATTGGCTAAATAAGATCACATGACACACGAAGGAGGAGGAAAGATACCCGACCAGGACCTCATTGGCCGAGAGCGGTCACGTGACGCACGAGGAGAAATCGGTCGACGCCCCTGTCAGAAGAAGTGAGAGCCGATACGAAGAAGCGGGGAAGCGGGTACACGCCCTCAGAGGCATGGTAAGGAAGTGGGAGTGAGAGTGAGTTACCGAAAATGGAAAAGAGTGGAAAATCCCTAACCAGAAATAAGAAGGGTGGATACGTATTTAGAATTATCGAAGAACCCCTGGCGCCGACAGACCCACCCCAGTTTTGACTGCGTCAATAAAACGAGACCCCAACAGACAGAAATCAGTTCAGCCGCGGACGTTCGGAGTTGGGCGTGGACGGCGGGTGAAAAGTTTGCGGGCAGAGATGAGAAAAGTGAAGAAGTTCGGCCTGAAGCTGAGAAGTTTGGCCAGAGAGCGGAGATGAGTGACAATTCGTTTGAACCGGACGCCAGAGAAGAAAGTTCGTCGGACCCAGACGGCAGAGATGAGTTCGACCGGTAATTCAAGACAGAAGAGGAGTTTTTTGACGGCGAATGAGTGACCAGTAAAGGACTCTGAAGAGAAGAGTTCGTTGAGTTCAGCCGCGGAAAAGTTAAGTTCAGCCGTGGACGACAAGCAGAGATGAGCGCCCAGTGTTGAAACCGCGTCAAGATAGCTGACCAAGATTCACGCACACTTCTGGACTCTTCTTCAACCAAGAACAAGTAGTTTGAAGAGCGACTTAGAATCAGACCACAGAAATAAGTTTTTTTTTCGACTTTCGTCCAAAGACACACCGAAACACAAATTTCTTAGAGAGCAGACAACTGGAAGCCTTAAAGTTGCCTAGTAAAAGCGTCGTGCCACAATCCACAGAACGGGTCGGGAAGTAGACATAGTCCTATGTACCGAACAAATAGACATAAAAAGTTTGTTACCTTTTTTCTTTGATACGTTGGACCTTGTGAGTTTTTATTTTATTTTCTTTTATACATAATTGTGTGTTATCACCCCCGTTGGACTCAACTTGCATTACGGCCCCAACCCTTGTTTGATCTCGTCTGTCTAAGATCAATTCACAACGTGGGTAGGCAGACTGGAGATCAGTGCAGTTACCCTGGTAACCAGGCGTTGGAAGCGGGTTGGGAACGGCGAGGCTGGTATCAATCTAACCAAAGGGTTAGAACGTCACGTTTGGAGCAGCGAGGAGCGAACAGTTGACGCCGCGGCGAAGACGTCACAGTTGGTGCTGTCCGTGACTAGGATATCAGAGCCTGGGGAGCACGTGACGTCACAATTGGCGCCGCGACCGGGATCGAACGACACAGTCGATAATATATTGTTTCTCGTTAAAATTAGCTATTTAATTTTCGAAATTAAGGATAAATGTCCAATTTTTGATTTATTTTTAATTTTTGTTTCTCCGTTTCGATATAGTGATGTAGTAAAATTATGACCTTTTGTCGTCAGAGAAATATAATCTATAATAATTAACATTTCGATGACTGTTGTTTTATTGTGGGAAAAGATTTTCTTAGATACCAGACCGGCAGTAATTCGGATTATTTTATAGATTGTCACTACAGATCAAAGGTTTTGAGCCAGCTGGCATTTCTTTAAAACAACACATTAAAATGAGATACTTTTGCATTTTTTTTTTCAAGTATTAGAATTTATTTGCATCAGGTTGACGCGTGTTAAAATCCTCACAGCGTTTAGTATTGTTGAAGTTTATAGCTACCATTTTTGTTGAGATTTACAAACTCTACGTTTTGTTCAATTTAGCAAACCAATCGATGAAATTTGAATAAACTGATTTGTTTGGAAAAATACTTTGACAAAAACCCAACATCGTGGTTTAATATTTTCTTTAATTTAATTTTATAGGACATCAATATAGTTTAAGAAAATTTCCTTTTTCATTCTTAAAAGTGAAGAATAAATTCTTAGGATTTCTTACTCTTGAACATGCAGCATACAACATTCCATGCGTCAATATTGGTTCTGGAGCCAAAATCCAACTTTTTGAAGAGTTTGGCTTCGTGATTTGATAATAGTTTTCGCAAATGTTGACCAAACTAGAAACTGGATTTTTGTATATATAAAAACTTAAAGGAAAGATATACAAAAAAAAAAAAAAAAAAAAAAAAAAACCCAAAAAAAAAACAAACAAGAAACTAAACAATATTGCATTTTTGTTAAATAAGTATGTGGTTGATTTAGTTCGCCAGTCGTTTGCGATAACTGAAATTGAATAAGGTGTTTGCTTTCAAGAAACAGACCTCTTCCATCTCTCTTTCTCGTTCGTCTGTACGACTTCACGTCCAACCAAAGTTTTTTCCCATCCCCACCCCTCACAAACTCTCTATTTATACCTGCTTCGGGGCTCAATTCTCGTTCACGCGAGACTTCCTATTTTATAAATTCAAACTGGTTTGAATTCTTAGTTCTTTTTTCATTGTACATCTGCAGGCGAGATAGGAATCTCGAAGTAATCTATTTCATTTTTAATGGCGGTCGCGATCTTTCAACAAGACCTGACACGCCAAGCAAATTCACTTTGCGAGAGGTCATTTTTCTCGTTTCTCACATAAGTGTTGTCAAATGTTTTTGTTAATAGTTGCCATCTGTTGTGCTTAGTATATATTTTAAATCTTATTGAAGTATTTTCACACTGGCCAGCATTTGATAATGTTACCCAGCTCACTACTTTCATCAAGTCAGCCTTTTTTAAAAAAAAGCCTAGTCGAAAAAAAGCAGTACTTAGAATGGCTTGAAGGTACCTTGCCTCAGAAACAAGTGAAACTACCCCCTGTACCAGTGGCAACAAGATGGAATTCCTGGTTTAATGTGACCAAACATTCCAATAAACAAGAAAATTTTTCAATGCAGTAGATATCTTTATATTATAGAATATAATGTAGAAGGCTTGCAGAGGAATAGAATTATCCAGTAGATATTTTTGCAAGTAATAGGCTTCTAGAATTAGCAGTAGATAGGCTTGCAGTAGATAGGCTTCTAGAATTAGCAGTAGATAGGCTTGCAGTAGATAGGCTTCTAGAATTAGCAGATGATGGTCAACTACATTATGCCTCTTACCATAATTAGCATCTAAATCATAATTTTATAAATGACAAAAAAAATATTATTTTGCAAATTCTATCTCCATCGTGTTGAGAATTTTTAGGGTTGACACATTCAAAGATCACATGAAATCAAAAACTCATTTGACAAAAAAGTTGGTTCAACTGAAACAGAAGACAATGACAACTTTGTTGAAAAGTGAAAATGTAAGAGATGGTTTTGTCCTTGATTTTTTGAAAATGTGCACCTTGTCTGACATTCCCCTCTCGAAAATTGACAAAATGAGGTCATTCATATTAAAATATTGTAAAGAAGCTGTTGCTATTCCAAGTGTCAATTGTCTTAGGCAACTTCATCTACGAAAACTGTTTGCTTGTCACTTTGCTGCCTTGAAAGCCAAGCTTGCTTATCAATCAGCCAGCATCATAACAGACAAAACAACTGTCATGAACACAGCATTTTGAATGTAATTGCAAGCATTCATTTCTCATTGAAGTTGTATCCTTGCAAGAATGCAATCATCAAAATGTAATTCAGGCATGCATTCATGCTGTAACTAATGTTGATATTGCATCTGAGGATATTATTGCCTTTGTAACAGATTCTTGCTGCCTATTGCAAAAAAAGCTCACAAGGAAATTGTGGTTAATTTAGTTCGCAAGCCGTTTTTTTATAACTGAAATTGATTAAGGTGCTTGCTTTCAAGCAACTCACCTCTTCCTTCTTCCCTCGTCCTCGTTCATCCGTACGATTTCACGCCAACCAAAGTTTTCTCACCCTCACAGAATCGCTATTTATGCCTGCGTCGGGAGGGCTAATATTTGCATACGTGACTCAATTCTCGTTCGCACGAGACTTCCTATTTTATAAATTCAAACTGGTTTGAATTCTTAGTTTTTTTTTCATTGTACATCTGCAGGCGAGATAGGAATTTCGAAGCAATCCATTTTACTTTTAATGGCAGTGGCGATCTTTCAACAAGACCTGTCACGCCAAGCAAATTCGCCTTGCGGGAGGTAAGTCATCTCGTTCCTCACAAAGTATTTGTTATTTTAATCATTTAATTATTTTAAAATGGTGGGAATAATTTGTATGTTAAATCAAAACTTTTAATTCCCCCCCGCAAAGAATTGATGAAAAATTGATTATACTCAGCTACTCCCGCTAGTAAAACGAAATGTACTTTGTATTCCCTTAGCTGTTTATTCCCCAAATTCCCGTCCGAATTTAGAGGATGCGACGGACGGGCGGATGTCACAGAATTTCGTATGTAGAAAATATAATATTTCAGGAACTATACTGTATACTTAACTATTGGAACCACGGATGTAGTGCAATGTATATCGGCTCAGAGTGAGAAATCAGAGAGCCAAGTTCGAATACTATTCGAGGTGGCTATATTCACTTTCGCACAAATAGCATTGGGAAAGGTATGAATATACCTCTTCTCCTCCAGCTATGGATTAAATAGCAGGAGAGACTGGGTTCTTTAGCCTTGGTTGGCAAACAGTCTACTACAGAAAAAAATGCCAACCTACTGCGGGAAAAACTCTTCTGCCTCGTCAGTCATGTGTCGAAAGATACATGATCGCCCAAACGTGTGGTATTTAACTGTCTGATTGGAACTACACATTCACCGTTCAGTTTTTCTACTGGATTTTATTTCACATACACTCTCCTATAATTAATAAAACGTCTAAATTTGGACTCGTTTGTCCACAATATATTTGGCCACTGTTTTAATGTCTAGTTTTTTTAAGTGTGGCGGTGGGTTTTTTGGGAGGGTGGGGGAAGAGAGGCCTGGAGATTTGATTCATGTCAAGAGAATCAAGAAAAAAAAAACAATATTATTCGATTTGGCAAAGACGTGCAATACCATCTGGTACAAACATAATTGGAGAAAAATCACCTTTCAAAGAGGCAACGATCCAAAACGTTCTTCAAAATTATGTCAACATTACATCAAGTATGTAAAAAAAAAGAAAGAAAAATTTTGGAAATGATTACATGACAGCCACAATCTCCTGACCTCTTTCTAATTGAATTAGCGTGAGATGAATTGAAGAGAAAAGAAAATCCCAAAACTGAGAGCTATATATATCTATATAACAAATGCAAATATCAGTGTGTCACTGTGTCACGCTTTATCACCTTTTTGAGTAAGGCCGCGTCTCTACTTATCTTTCAGTTGCGTCTCTGTCCTTGGACAGAGTGCATTCAGGCGCTTCTCTGTCAAAGGACAGAGGGGCAACTGAGGAAAATAATACTGAAGAGGTGCCCAACCCTGGGGAACAGCTGTCCGAGGCCGCGCTCTCCCATTGCACCTGAGGGAGCGGTCGGTGCACGCACTGAGGCTAGCGCAACAGACGGTTGCGTCGGCTGAGGGGAATTTTTGTTCTTGTCCCGGGCGTACGCGCTCAGGTCCCCACCTAAAAATAGAAATAAAACAACATCTCGTCCCAGTAAGGGGACAGAGTAAATAATTGATGCCAAATAACGATGATTCAATATTTAGTTAAAGGGACACAACTCTCTTACTTCGTCTCCTATATAATAAATGCGAATTTCATTGTGTTACTGTGTCATAGTTTCAACTTTACTCCTGGAGGCTGTAGCCCAACATATCATACCATTTTGGAATCAGACCGATTCCATGAGCAAATTAATCCGGACCCGCAATACTGAAATTTTGGATTCCCAAGTTTTCATTAGTGAGATTATTTTCGGCGATTTTTTTTAATATAATTTTTTGCGACAATTTTTTTTGGATGATAACAATTTTTATAACTTGAAAATAAATTTGGGAATAATCGAAATTGATTGCGAAAGTCAGCGAAAGCCACACATGAAATAAAAATAATTGTTTGTACGGAAAGTAAGGACCTACGTACATCAAATTGCCTTTAAATTAAGTTGCAGCAGAACAATTATTGTTGAACTTTTAAAAGTTAATCTTAAATATTAATGCAATACTTAAATCAATTTTGAGTCCTTCTATAGTTTATTGTAATCGATCGTATACAGCAACATTATGTCTGGCTAGGAAAAATCTCAGTCAAAAAAAGAACAGATAGAAATCAAAAGAACCAAGGTTGCAGCAAGGAAAAAGAAAAGAAAACCCAGAGAACACATGGCGCAGTGGATAAAGGCGTTAGTTAGATCCAGTGACAGGACGCAAAGAGTGTGAGTTCAATACCTGGTTAAGGCAGCGGAGAACTTGGAGAGGGGAATTAACAGGAGATAACTGATCACTGATATTCATTAGACATGGCACTTGGAACTAGAACAGTCTACCCAAGCAGGCGAAATAAAATTACGATGATATTCACCCTGTACAAATCCTAAGAATCACTCAAGATAAATGGTTACAGAGTTACCACACCAAGCAAGAAAATGCCACCAAGACTCAAGGGAATACTGGAAGAGAGAGATAATGAAAAGGGTTTAGAAAGAACTGGAAACCCAATCCTAAACAGAAAACATAGGATAAACCTCTACACAAAAGACATAGGAGGAGTGCGAACCAGGCGATAGGCAAACCTATCTACTCTTCTCCTAGTTAACAAAACATTAACACTGATACTATTTACATTGTTCGGACTATCATCCTCATCTTTGTTGCCATATTTATGACAACATTTCGGCCGATACGTTCTACGCTCCTGCCTTCTTCAGGTGGTTGGAATATCGAACTGAACCCTTTATTTCGCTCGCTGAAGTATACTGTTCTAGTTCTTAAAGGACACATGGCACAGTGGATAAAGGCATTAGTTAGATCCAGTTCCAGGACCTAAAACTGTGAGTTCAATACCTGATTAAGGCGGTGGAGAAATGGGAGAGGGGAATTAACAGGAGATAACTTATCACTGACATCCATTAGACATGGCACGTGGAACTACAACAGTCTACCCCAGCAGTCGAAATAAAGGTTTCAGTTCGACATTCCAACTAACTGAAGAAGGCCGGGGCGTACAACGGCCGAAACGTTGTGATAAATATGGCAGCAAAGATGAAGATGATGGTCCGAACAATGTAAATAGTGTACATAATACCTCATCTCAGAAATATAGACACCAATACTACACTTGTATGTATGTATATATATATATATATATATATATATATATATATATATACTTTGTTGGATATTTTTAATTAAGCTGTTCCTTGAATTAAGCTTTTTCCGCTCACATGAGCCACCTTCAGAGTGGTTATATGGATATTTAAACAAAGATATACAGCATCTAGGAAAATATTTTTGTTATGTTGACATAGAAAATTGCGATGCGACGAAAACGGTCGCAGAATAACAGACTCAGGTTGTAAAGACTTAAAGATCGTCATCGTCGCAACAATCTACAATGAGTCGTGCTATAGACTTTGGATATTATGCATATTTAATTTATATATATATATATATATATATATATATATATATATATATATATATATATGAGTTTATAATATATATATAATTTTATTCAAAATATACATGTATGCGTATTTATATATTTTGCATATGTATGTATATTTACCTATAATATTATCTATCTATCTATCTATCTATCTATCTATAAATATATATATATATATATATATATGTCACCATGAAAAGAGATTTAAATTATTTTATAAATAGAATTTTATTTTATTTTTGTTATTTTACAACGCACAATTACAAATGTATTTATTGAAAATCATACGTTTCATTATATATATGCATTTGTATATTTATGCATGTGTGCATGTGTCAGGTGTATGTGTATGTATGTGTATATTTTATATATATATATATATATATATATATATATATATATATATATATATATATATATATATGTGTATATATATATGTGTATGTATGTTTCTAAATATGTATATGTGTATGTATGTTATATATGTATGTGTGAGTGCATTATACATGGATGTATATATGTTTATTGTGTATGCATGTGTATATATATGCTTATAATGTGGTGTTTATATATATATAATATATATATATATATATATATAGTGTGAGTGGAGGGTGTTATGTGTGGGTATGTTTATGTTTATGTACGTGTATGTAGGTGTTTATATGAATGTATATGGGTACATATATATGTGTGTATATGTATGCAAGTGTGTATGTATGCGTATTTGCATGCATTGCATGTACGTGTTTACTTGTATGTTTGTTTGGATGGGCATATTTTTTTTTATTTTATATCACACACACACACACACACACACATATATATATATATATATATATATATATATATATATATATATATATATATGATGTATTTTATAATTATAAATATGAATTAGATATATTGAATTTAAATGTTTGTTATATATTATACAGTGTAACCTGGATATAAGAGACCCGGATATAAGAGAAACCCGGATATAAGAGAGATTTTCTCTGGTCCCAAATTAGAGCCTGTGTTAATGTATATAAAATAGACGAAACCCGGATATAAAAGAAACCCGGATATAAGAGACTTCTTCATTATATTGACATAAATTAGTTGATGGCGATATAAATCTGTCATTTGTACTTCCTCCTCCCACCACTCACAGGGAAACAGGAATAGGGAAGGGAGTTCCGCAGGCGAGAGGTGCGAGACATGAAGCTATTAGAGTAGAAGAGACGACTACATTTAGGAGTTTCGACAGTGAAGGGGTGAGAGCGGGATGCCAGCCTCGTAGGGCGCTGGAACTCATGACGTCTGGGAACCAGCGAATGCAGCTCCTCGGAGCAATTTCCATGAAAGTATTTGTAGAACAGACAGAGAGAGGTGACGGCGCGTCTGTGAGAAAGTGACTGTAGACGAGACGCCAGGGCAGGGCCAATTACATTGCATATCCGCCTCTGGAGCCTATCAAGAACCCTGAGGCAAAACAGAAGGGCACCAGACCATATATGACAGCAACACTCCATGCAAGGGCGAAATGTTGATTTGTAGATCTGGAGGATCGACTCCGGGGAGAAAAACTTCCTGGCGCGGCTCAGGGAGCCAACTTTCCTTGCAGTGGACGAGGCAATTGACTCCAATGTATTTATTCCATCTCAGGTCAGCCGTCAACGTGAGACCGAGAAGCCTCAGTTTTAATTCATGATCTCTACTAAATTATTTTTTAAATAATTTTTTAAATATTGTCTGGATAAATTTAAATCATTTTGTAATTTCGGTCTGATGAGGCAGCTATTAAAAACTTACCTGCTGAAATAAATTTATTACCGGATTTTTCGATGATGCGTTAAGTATTTTTTCGTTTATACATTTCATATTGCTCTGTATACAATATATAATATTGTTTTATGGTATATTTATATATACTATAAATATATATATATATATATATATATATATGTATGTGGTGTGTGTGTGTGTGTGTGTGTGTGTGTGTGTAGTAACATGCCTACGGACGATAATGATAGTATGCCCCTTTCACATAAATATAGTATAAATACTGTATGTTGGTGTGTGTCTGGAGATTGTTAATCAGATGTGCTGGTCTAACTCTCTGAAATGGGCAGAGAGGATACCAAGATGAGGTTATCTCTAGGTCAGAGTCAGTTTCGAAAAAACAGCTACCTTATTTTTTTATACGGGTTTCGGAGAATGTTTTGCCGAGTCTACGGATAGATGAATCGTTATTAAAGTCGTTTGATACATCTGACCATATGGGGCGGTTGGTAGATACTTGATGTTTGAGAAATTGTATGAAAATTCCTTTGAAATCTTATATGTGTATAAATTGTCCTAAGTATTATCATTCATTTACAACTTTTGTGTGATTATTCTATGCAGTAAACCTTCCTAGGTTACAACAATATATACAATAATAATAATAATAATAAGAAGAAGAAGAAGAAGAAGAAGAATAGAACAACAACAACAACTGTGTTCCATGTTAAATATAACGTGAGACATATATTTGACCTGCTTGACATGGTCTACTCAGATATACATGTCATTTGAAGTAGTTAATTACAGTTTTCGTAAAGAATTTTCGTTTTGCTATGAAAATTCTGATGTTAAAAACAAAAGTTGAACAGACGTAAAGAAAAGATGAAAAGATGAAAAACGTTCTATTTATCTTTTCCTTGTCGAAAATATGTTTTTTTTTAATGTTTCTTAAAATTCCTTCTTGATATTTAGGTATTTATTTTTCGCACATCTCCTTAAATCACGTAGAGATGTAAAATGCAGGCCTTTAGAAAAAAAAGAAAGAGAGAGAGAATATTGGGGAAAGAGAGAGAGAGAGAAGAGAAATGTGGGATAAGAGTGAAAAATGGAGGAGGGAGAGAGAAAGTGTGGGAGGGAGAGAGATATAAAATATAATAGGAGAGAGAGAGAAAATGAAAATATAGAGAGAGAAAAATCTGGAGGGGGAGGGAGAGAAAGATTTAGAGGGGGAGAAGAAATGAGGGGGGGGATTTTTTTTTACTAAAAAGGAGAGAGAGAGAAATGTCGAGTTTGAGAGAAATTATAAGATAAAAGAGAGAGATAAAGAGGGCGAAGCATTAGAAAGAAGAATTTCAATGGGAGAGATAAAAAGGATTAATTTTGGCGAGAGAAATTTTTTAGTGAGAATAAAATAGAGAGGGAGGAGAGAGACAGAATGATTTTAAAATAAAGAGAGATAAAAAAGATGAGAAAGAGAGAGAGAGAAATAAATAGGAGAAGAGAGAGAATTGTTTATGAGGGAATCAAGAGAAGAAAAAAGTGGAAAGAAAATTTTTTCCTATTGACACTATAGAGAAATTATAGAGCAAGATGAGAAAGAGAGAGAAAGGGGAGAGGAGAATTATAATAGAGAGAGAAAAGAGAGAGAGAAAAAAGGAAGATAAGAAAGTGTGAGAGATACAACGACGAAAAAAAAGATTAGAAGAGAGGAAGAGAGAGAATTAGGCAAAGGGAGAGAACTAAAAAAAAATAAAGAGACATTTTGGAAAAAAAAGAGATTTAGAATACATTTCTTTTAAAAAGAGATATAAAGGAGAGGAAGATATATAATATTTTCAAAGATAATAAAGAGAGAGAAAATGATTTTGGGGGAGAGAGATAATGACGAGAGAAAAAGACAAAACAGACATAACAGTTGACAATTTCTAACGAACAAACTTGCTTGAAAAAAGGTTACATTATTTATTTATAATATAAAAATGAGAGGTTTTCAATTGTGCAAGACTTCCGTTTTACATATTCTCGAAACAAATATAGAATTATAAGTTGCAATGTAAACAATGTTGGTCAGGCCAGTTAATTAGTAATTTTCTTTTCTGTGTGTTTTTAGAAGTTGCAATAAATGTTTTCTTCACTAATATCGTAAAATAAAACTATTTAACAGCACAAGTCCCAGGGCAAAATTCCCATGTCTAATATTCTCTCTTATTCTGACTCTCATCACTTTTCTGTTGGTATTTTCATCCCATCATATGTATATATATATATATATATATATATATATATATATATATATATATATATATATGATAAAATAACGTAGTGAATAAATCGATATTCGTTGTAAATCTCACTACAATTTCGATTCAAAATATGCTGGTATAAGTAAAAGCGAATGTAATTTGACAACGCGAAAATCTATGGAAAGTGCAATGATTTCTTTGTCCGCCACGGTAGATTTTGTGTCCCATTTCTGACAGCATTTGACCTTTCATCAACAAATCTTCCGTTGTTAGAATTGGGATATTTAAAAACAACAGATATGAAAACTAAAACAACATCGTTAAAAACTGATTTTTTTTTTTAAAACTAAAATTCTGTCAATAAGAACATTATTTTAATCTGGTGAAGTCCTTTTAGAGGTCGAAATGCGTTAAGCAGAATGCTTTCCATTTTGTCATTCCATTATCCGACATTATTCTGGTTTCTAGAAACATATCTATCTATCTATCTATCTATCTTTCGTCATTATTTATCTCTCTATCTATCTTTCTTTTATTTATCTATAATCTATCTTTCAATTTTAAAAGAAAAAAAACAAAAAATATATTTTGTTCATAACATTAATTTAAAAGAGGAGAAAAATCTTTCCATTAAAAAAAATTATCATTATTATTCGTATAATCTATTTGCTATTTCTATCTATCTATCTTCATTATTTGTTTATCTATTTTAAGTTTTTCATTTAAAAATCTAAAATCTATCTGGAAAAGAATATTTGAATTAGTTATCTAAAATAAAACATTATCTATTAAATCATCTATCTCGTTAACATTTATTTATTATTTACAATATTTTTTTTCATTATCCATCTAGTTTAAAATGAATCTAACTGATATTTTTTCAAAATTTCAAAACTCTATAAATCTTTTAAAATCTATCTATCTATCTATCTAAAATCTTTCATGAAAACAAATCAAATTTAACGAAAAGAATAAAAATGAAAATAAAACATTAATATAAAAATTTGTTTCTCAAAAATAAATTACTAAAAATTTTCTCAAGGAAATTCATCTATCTATCTAGAAAATTATGTGGAATCTGTTATTTATCTTTGTTCATTATCTATTTATCTTAAAAGAACTGAAAATACAATTTTTTTAAAAATATAATGGTGTTTCTAACATTAAAAAATTTTTATTTACCAAATGTAACAACAAAAGTTAGGATGTTAAGTTGTTACATAAGAACAAACATCAAAATCAAAGATGCATATTTCTTTTGACTTGGTTCTAATATCTTAAATTTCAACAGGTATATGAACAAATAATGCTTATAAACGAATTAAATTTTATTAATTTTCTTTTTCTTAGAAAATAAATAAAAATCTTGATATATTATAGGAAAAAAAAAAAGAAAAGGGAAAAATATTTCCTTTCGGAGAAGAAAAATGTTTTTTATCTTTTTTCTTTTCTTTCATTTTTTCTTCTTTTTTAATTTTTTAAACAAAAACCCCAGCTATTTGAAAACATTTTTTTTTTTTTTTTTTTTTTTTACATATAATATTTTTTCAGTATTTAGAAACCAAATATTATTAAATGCCATTCATTTTTCTGATTTAAACCTGGAAATTCTTTCCATTATTATAAAAATTGTAAAATGCTACAAATGATCTTGATCATTTCAAAAAGTAACATTTAAAATTAAATGTTTATAGCCATCTTTGTTTTTTTTCAAATCAGATGCTTATATAAGGCATCGAAACCTTCTTTTTTTTTTTTATTATTATTTGTTTGTTGTATGTTCTATAAAATATTATATATATATATATATATATATATATATATATATATATATATATATATATATATATATATATAATCGATTCTCCGTCGATTTCGACGTATGAGGGTCAAAGCAGATCAGTTTCAGGAAACCGACAGCCCGACAACGGCACATGAGATTTGATTATAGTGGTGAAGGCTTCGTGCAGGACCATCCACACTTTTGAAGGGACGAATACAGAGACCTGGTGCACTGAATGCCACAAGGTTCCCAAACGTCCCTCCGCAGGTTTTGAATTGAGTTGTCCTTCTCCTAGACCAGTTGCCATCCAAGGCTATAGAACCCAGTCTGTCCTTCTATTTTACCCATAGCTGGGGGGAGAAGAAGAGGATTCATAACCTTTCCCAAGGGTATTAGCACGTAAGTGAATGTAATGGATTCGACTGGAATTCGAACTCGACTCTGCGATTCCTCAATCCAAAAATTATCCATTACACCGCCGTATCTCCATCTCTCAAAAAGATCTCTCTATATATATATATATATATATATATATATATATATATATATATATATATATATATATATATACGATACATGATATATATGTTACGTGCTAATACCATTGGGAAGGTATGATAGGATTTTTATATATATATATATATATATATATAAATATATATATTATATATATATATATATAAGAAAAATGCCGAAATTAATTTTTTTCATATTTTTAATAGATCTTATTTTAAAAATTAAAAGGTTCAGAGTGCTCGACCTTAATTTGGTTGCCGATATATATTTAAAAGATATGTAAAAAAAATAGGGAAAGAATTAAAGAACGTTAGGTAAATAATCCAGGGTTCTTTATTATTTTTTTTTTTTTTTAAAAAATTTGCTCCATACAGAAGTAGAGCTTAAATTATAATTATTTTTTTAAAAATATGATTCCTTCCTTTATAAGAGTTCTCATGTTTAAAAAAAAAGAGCCGAAACCCTCAATATAATTATTAAAATTAAATTGAATTAAAGTAACAAGCCCTGTTTCATCCTCAAGCGAATTTTTTAGGAATAACCAATCTTGAAATTTACGCATCTTTTATAAGCATGTTCGTTTTAATTACTATGGAAACGGCTGAAACCATTTTTGATAAGGGGCCTAAGATATAATTTCTTATCCACATTTCAGTCATCTTCGGAAGAGGAGTCAAGTTAAGGTAGGGTGGGGTGTTCATTAAATGTGAATGAAGGCATTCATGAACGCACATCGTTTGGTCAGTCACAGAGAAAAGATAAATTAAATATTACCATATATGTTGTTAATGTCTTTTTTTTTTTTTTTATTTATTTTTTTTCCAAATTTAAAAAATATAAAAATTCGCGTCGCACTGAACTACAATTTGTTTTTTTGACTTCACAAAATATTTTTTTTTTTTTTTAATGAATGGGTTAAGCTTTTAAGCCCTTTATTAAACTATGAAATTTAATTTTTTTTTTGCTAATTATTTAATGCGAAAATTTGTTGATGTCGAAAAAAAACCGTTAACTCATGTCTATTGTTTAATAAATTTTCATTATTTAGAAACTTATTAATGTGTAGTTTTTCATGTAGGCATAAAGGGCATGGGTCATCCCAGGTTAAAACGTGAATTGTTCTATTTATTATTTTCCATTTTACTTTTATATTTTTTATATATTTAAATTTTTAAAATAAAAAAATATTTGGATAGAGATGTTTGAGAGAAATACTTCTAATATTATTGAAGGGGCTTTTATATCTCCTCCACCTAATTTTAAATTCATTCTTCGTTGACCCAAATATATCCTTTCAAAAAAAACCATTCAATTTATGGATGAACCCATGATTTACATTTACATATTTTTATATATAATTATAATTTTTTTATAAACCCTGAACAAAAATTTATTAAACCATAGACATGAGTTAATTTTTTTTATTAGAAATGTTTTATATTGTTAAAAAAAAAAAAAATCAAAAAACAAAATATCTATTCTTTTTTTTTTAAAATATAGATAAAAGAAAAAAAATTTTTAATTTTTTTAAATAAAAAAATTATATGTATTTGGTCTTACAGGATATTTTTAAATAAATTTTGAAAAAAAGCAACATTTATATAATATCTATTATATAAAAAAATATATACCAAAAATTTTCAATTGAATTTAATTTCTTTTTTTCTTTATTTTTTGATTGTTTAGACGAGACAAAATTTGTAGAAATAAATCTTTTTAAAGAGAATATTGTAAAAAAAATGTCTAAGAGACTATGTTTTAGAAAAGTTTTACCCATTATTTTTTAATCTTTTATTTTTTTGAATTTGTTTTGTTTTTAGATATCCTGCAATGTATAAAAACATTTCCTTAATTAAATTTATTGTTTTGAAAATAACACTGACATTTCATTTTTAATAAGTTTACGTATTGAAATATTTTGTGTGTAATATGTGAAATTTTAAAGATAAATTTATTCAATAAAATATTATAATTTGATTAATTTGATTTTTATTTAGAATAATTTGTTAAATTAGGGCGTCCAAAAATGTGATTTGTCCACTGTCAAATGAGGATTTAGATATTCTCAAATGTATTCTGAGTTTTATCAGAAAAATAGTCCAGAGATTTTTTATCAGGAAAGTAAAGTTATTACCAATGTTGCATTTAAAAAAACGCAATCAACATTGGTACAACATTAATGAAGGAAATTTTTTTTGAAAGAAAAAAAAAAAAAAGCCCTAGTTTTAAAATGTATAAAAAAATTTAGTCCGAAAAAATCCAATTTTTTTTAAAAACGCATCAAAAAATTTTACACATATTTATATATATATATATATATATATATATATATATATATATATATATATATATTTTAGAAAAGAAAATTTTATATCACAAAACATTGAAAAATGTAACCAGGGTAAGTTTAATATCATGCCGATATATCAAACAGACAATTACTCGTATCTACAAATACAGGAAAAAACTTTATAGACAAATTTAAACCCGAACTGAATAGATCGTAACCCCACACAAAAAAACACACAACATGCACACAGGGTGACTAAATACAATGATCAAATCGCTCACATACATGGACGCACACTCATATACGGGAGACACGAGGAGATATATATTTGTATGTATGTACATACATACATTTATGTATGTATATGCGGATGTTGACAACTTAAAAGTGTGTGTGTGTGTGTGTGTGTGTGTGTGTGTGTGTGTGTGTGTGTGTTTGTGTGTGTACTGGTTCCATGTAGCTTGGGAAATATGTGTATATGTGTGTGTGTACTGATTACTTGTGGTGGGATAGTGTGTATGTGCGTATGTGTGTGTATGCGTGTATAGGTACAAATAAGTTTACGAATTCCTCGTAGTAAGACAATATGTATGTATGGGGAAATATACGCACGCATATATACACGCATGCTGACAGGAAACACCAAAATGGAAACAGATCCAAGAGCACACATAGGGGTCACTAAAACATTAAAAGATAAAATGCCGATAACTAATTTATCATCGCTGGACAAACCTTAATTGTTTTATGACCCTTCGCGCAGAACTCTTCATTGACAATTCTAGAAAGAAATTCGGATTACCAACACACAAACAGAGAATGTCTCATATCGAGAATATTTAACATTGAACATGAAGAAAAAATTAATTATTTTTAATAATATGTGGAAATCTCCACTTTTACCTGAAGACGGTCGCGAGACCAGAAAAACACGTGTCGTAAAATTATGTAAAACAAAGCATAATATTTTTTCTAAATAAATCCACATTACAACAAAAAACGTTTGCGGCACCCTCTTCTCTTCTTTTTAATATACATACTTTTCTCTCGTTGGAACCACTACAACATATTTTTTTTTATATATATATATATATATATATATATATATATATATATATATATATATATATATATGCAAATATATATATAATATATAGAAAAATCAAAAATTGCACAAAAATGGCATATATAAGAACAGGGTAGATAATATGTTATAGACAAAAATATCCAATACTTAGTTGCAACATAGGTTTCGCAGATCTTGCCTTATTTCAGTCTTTATTTGAATTACAGAGAATATTTTCTAGAAATTTTAAACCTTGTAAAAAAAAGTTTAAAAAAAATCAACTTCATTAAAATAGCCCTTCTTTTTGATCCAAAGCGATATGACCATTATCAAGGGAAAATTAGAGGATAACATTTTAAATATTTATATATATATGATAAAATTCTACACACACAGGTAAACAGATTCCATTAACTCTTTAAACTAATTAGGTATATGCAGAAGGATAATGAAAATTTACCTAATATATAACAAATGAAACCATTAATTAAAAATTTTGAGGAAGAAGATAAAGAAAATGAATTAATATAATATGAGATAATTTTATCAAAAATCTTCATAATTGCAACTCAAAAAATTGGCAAAATGGGCACATTTTGCTCTCTTCATTTCAATATTTGTCCGTTATTTTTGAAAAAAATTAAATGAAAGAAAGAAATTTTTAGATAATTTTCTTTTAAACTTTGTTTTTTTTTTTTCCAAAATTGTTTTTCATTTTAAATTTTTGAAAATTTTTTAATAAATGGATCATTCTTTTTTTGAAAATAAAAATTTATTTTTTGAAGGTCATCATTTGAGACTAAACAAAAAACAGTTCATAGTTATGGATGTTAAGGATTAGTGTCCGATCCAATTCAATTTAATCCATAAAAAAATTCATCCGTCTCATGCATTTTATATATCGCATCTCAAAAATTTTCCTTCAGACGACTTTTATCAAATAGTGTCATATTTTTTTTCCTAAAAAATCAAAAATGACAGAATCAAAAGAGCTGATCAATTTCTAAAGATTCCTTTTATCTTATGTTTGATGAAACTGTCTTGTTCCATTCCGTTTCATAATTTTCAAAGCAGAGGAATTGAAAAGCAGAAAAATTCCTTATGCCAATCATTTATATTATATAGTATATAATTACCAAAAATGAGTATAGTGCAAAAATTATGATTTTATTACTTTTCAAAATATTGAGGAAAATATATTTATTTAACAATATACTTTTCGAAATATTTAATTATTAATTTACAATCCTTTTTTCACAGAATATATATATCAAATATATTTGTGTATATTCAAAATGATTACAGACTTCATATATACTGATATATGGGAGAGAATGCATAATCATGGCATGATCATCAGTTTAACAATGGCCAGTATTCAAATAAACCCTATATCATATGATATATATATATATATATATACATATATAAATGTAATATAACAATATAAACATTTCATATACACACACACAAACACATATACACACACACAGATAAAATATACATATATATTTTCCATGAAAAATAAACAAAACAAAAATAAAAAAGCTATTTATATAAAAAAACAAACCTCAATAAAATTAATTATGAATTTAACAAATTTTTAATTTTTTTAGATAGTTTTTAAAATGTTCATTTAGATTGTCATTATTTATTTTTTTTCCTTTATCTGGCAACTACTAAAGTCCGGGAAAAGAAACAGCATTTAGTTTTAAATATATCAAATCAATAGGCCAAGAATACAGAATTATGGATATACATATAAAATGGTAGTTATCGGATGATATACAAAAAGTTTTGTCCTTCATTTACTAAATTTATAATGACAATCTTCTGATATAATATTATATATTATGAAAGTTAAAGAAATAAATGCAATATGAGTCAAACAGTGATTTTCATCTTTTAATAACCGCACAAAATATTTATGGCGAATATGAAAGGAATTGGAGAATAAATAGACAGAACATGTATAAATTATTTAACAAAACCTGTAATTTTATTATGATAGATAGCAATAGATAGACAGATTGATAGATAGATAGATAGATAGATAGATAGATAGATAAAATGAATATATATATTGGATACACGACAACAATGCTTAAAAAAGGTAAATCTTCACTTGAATAATATGTCAAATATTTCTAAACATTAAATACAGTTTTAAAAGAATAAAAACAAAAAAAATATCTCAAAATGTTTATATAAAAATATTGATGTGCAAACCTTAATAAAATTAATTTTGAATATGTTAAAAAACATTTGAAAACGTTTTGAACGATAATCTTTAAAAAAAAGCGAAAATTGTGATTTTTCCTTTAAAATGCATGTCATTCAATCACCAAATTTGCAATAGGATTTAAAAACAAAAAAACAATTATATTTATTTTACCCAATTATTTAAATTTATCATCTTTCATATTATTACTAAATATTTACTTAACAATATTTTTCAATATTATCTCAATGTAAATATATTTCATAATAATTGAATATTAACAGATAAATGAAACCCAAAATGTTTAATAATTATATAGACAAAGAAGGACAATATGAATATATATATATAGTATACATAATACATATCTCAGATATAATAAGGGATATTGAAATGCCAAAATGTTGTTCCTATTTTATGTATAAACAAAGATGAGGACAATAGTCCAAATAATAGTAAATAGTGTACATAATACATCATCTCATAAAATCGACAGATACAAAAAGGCTGAAACGTTCTAATAAATCTGGCGACAAAGATGAGGACAATATCCGAATAATTAAATATTACATAATACTTATCTCAGAAATATTTTCCAGATACTGAAAGGCCTTTTATTTTTAATAAATATAGCCGACAAAGATGAGGACAATAGTCCAAAATAATGTAAATAGAAAAACAAAATACTTCATCTCAGAAATATAGATTTAATGTACTTTGATTTTAATTTTTGGCAACAAAGATGAGGACAATTTTTTTTTATTTGTAAATAGTGTGTTAATAAAAATCTCAGAAATATCGACAGATACTGAAAGCCTTTTTTCTAATAAATATGTTGACAAAGATGAGGACAATAAGTGATTCGTTAATGTAAATAGTGTACATAATACTTCATCTCAGAAATATAAACAATACTGAAAGACCAAAAATGTTCTTAATAAAATATAGTCGACAACGATGAGGACAATAGTCCAAATAATGTAAATAGTATTTATAATTTTCATCTCAGAAATATATAAGATACTAAAATGCCAAAATGTTGTAATAAATATATAACAAAGATGAGGACAATAGTCCAAATAATGAAAATAGTTATATAAATGACTCATCTCAGAAATATCGACAAATACTGAAAGGCTGAACCTGTTCTAATAAATATGGCGAAAAAGATTTATCAATAGTCCAAATAATGTAAATATATATACATAATACTTCATCTCATAAATATAGACCAGATAATTATTTTTTGAAAAAAAATGTTGTAATAAATCAATTTAAATAAAGATATACAATAGACCAAATAATATAAATAATGTACATATTGGATTCAAAAAAAATAACATATACCTAGTTACCTCCGTTAAATGGTGTCCATCTCCAAGCAATGATACAGCATTCTGACTCCATATATAAAATGGTAATTTTTGGATGACCACAAGAACTTTTAATTTAAGTGTGTAAAAAAAATTAAAAAATGATGATGACAAAAAAACTCAGAAATAAATAAAAATGATTTCAATATGATGTTTTTCTCTGATCTTTTAAGGACCTTCATTATATTAGCTTATCCACAAATATGGAAGGATTCGTTTGAGAATAATAGACAGAACAAAAACTAAATTATTTAATTGAAACCAATCTTAAAACTTACACACACACACATTTACTTATAATTATTATTTATTATTATTTTTAATAATAATTTTAATCGTAATTATGGTTTATGGATACATGTGTTTCAAAAAATACATCTGGTTTTTTAAACATTTTAAATCATAAAAAAAAAAAATAATATTAAAATTTTATATACCAGAACAATTTAATAATTAATAATAATTGTTAAAAACTAAAACAATTTACATTTGTGGAAAAATTTTTTTCATATGAAGTCCTTGAGAAATCCTCAGAAAAAGTGAATAATTATACATGAGTACAAACAGTTGGGATGTTAATTAAAATTTTACCATTAAAAAAATTTAAATTTAAAAATTTTAAAAATGTCAGGATTTCCTCAATCACAAATGTGAAAAGTTAAAACATATAAAAATATCATTTTTAGCCTGATGATGTCCAATTCAATGACGGATTCGAAAGGACTCATTTGAAAATTTTAATATATTTATAATAAATCTATATAAATATATATGTATTTGAGAGTAAGATCAATAAATGGTGTCCTTAATGAAGAGTTTGAACCTGCAACCACGTTTGTAGAGAAAAACCACTATAAATACATTATAGACAATTATTTTAACCACTCAGCCATAATAATTTTGTATTTAAAAAATTCATTCAGATATCCTTATAAATTACAATAGGCATATTAGGAAAGTTATAAGATATTTGTATAAATATTTTTGGTTAAAATTCAGTCCTTTTGTGGAGAGTCCTGCAATGAAATAAATGGGTGAAGGTATAAAATATATATATATATAATGCTATGCCCAGGCTATTTGGTCATGCCACACAAGATACAAAATTTTATTAATTTATATTAAATATAAAATAAAAAATTTAGTTTAGGAATTGCCAGAAAGTATTTTTAATTAAAACTTATATATTATAAAAAACTTATTATATCAAAAAAAAAAAATAATTGAATGAAATATAAATATTTCAATAAAATATATATATAATATTATATATATATATATATATATATATATATATATATATATATATATATATTAAGAAATGGACAAATTAAAACATTTTATTTATTTTAATAAATCAAGATTTTCATAGATACATTGTATTTATAAATGTAAATAATTAAAAATAATTTTCGCGTCAAAAATTAAATATTAAATTATAATTATTTTGTAAAATTCGGAAAATTTTGATTAAAAAATCAAAATATTTTTGGCCTATATTTTAAATTTATTATGAAATCATTTTAAAAAGTTTTTACAAATTTTAATTTTATAAAAAATAAAATATAAAATATTTTATATATGGCATAAGCATTAGTGGTTAAAAAAACATTCCTCGATATAAAAATGAACGTTCTTTATAGTCCATTTGGTGGTTAAATAAAAATTTTTAGATTCCTTGGGAGGATTAAAATTTTATAGAAAATTTTTCAATATAATTTATGTTATTACCAATGAAACCTTTTAGCGTCTAATGATTAACTTAAATATTAATCTATAAAAAAATACGTTAAACATAAAAAATTTGCTAAAAATAAAATAAACATATAAATTTAATATTTTATATATATATTTTAGAATATATAAAAAATACAATTCAAATTTGATACAAATTTTTATTCTTATATCGAAAGAAATGTTGAATTTTTTTTAAATTATATTTTTTTACTTTTTTTTTTAAAATAAAAGATTTTGACATAAGGAAAATTTAAAGATTTTTAAAAATTTTTATAATTTTTTATATACATAAAAAAATAAATATTATTGTTTATGATATATTAGAAAGATAACGTTTATTATTTTAATTATATACATCCATAATAATTAAAAAAAATTTTAAAAAAAATATTTGATCCTAAGATAAATTTTAATTTTTAAAACCAAAGAAAACAAAATAAATAAAAAACCAAATTAAATTTTTTTTGAAAAAAATGATAAAAATCTTAAAAATTCGAATGTTTTTTAAAAAGATAAACAAATGTTAGATTTTACAAAAAAAAATTTATTTATTATATCCAAAAAAATACAAATATATTCTTATATTAAAATTTTGTCAAATAAATAATTTATATATATATATATATATATGATATATATATATATATATATAACAATATATATAATAAATTTGATTTTCTTAAAAATTTGATTTTTAGATTTAATCTTATTAAAATTTTTTTTTTATTCAATTTTTTCAAATATTTAAATATAAAAAAAAAAGTAAATTAAATTTCCAAATTAAAATTGATGTCAGAATATTATTAAATATTTTTCATTTATATTCTATAATTCACTATATTTATATATTTTAAATATTTTAATTGTTTTATTATATAAAAATCATAAATTTAATAAATTTTATTAAAAAAAATTCTTATAAATTGTTAAAAACAAAAAAAAAAAAAAAGATCAATATGATATCACGGAAATATATATTAATATGACATGAAATTTTTTATATATATATATATATATATATATATATATATATATATAAATATTTATATCCATTTTTTTTGATGAATAAGAAAAATATCAATAATATAAATCATTATCATTTTATTTGAATATAAATAAATAAATATATGGAATATATTTATAAATAAATAAATTTTTTAAATTGAAATTTCCAATTCTCAAAAATTTCAGGATTTTAAAAGAAATAAATTAAATATGTTATTTTGAAGATTAGAAAATGTTTATGAGTTTGTTTGAGTGTAAATATCTAATATATTAATATGTGTTTTAAAATATTAAGTTTGTTAAAAAATTTTTTTTATAATGGACAAATAAATAATTTCCAATAAAAATGCATTTTTTTAAATTATTTTTTCCTAATTTTTTAAATGTTTTAATAAATGATCCTCCAAATTTTTTATTCAATGATATTTATTTATGATTATATTCAAAAAACCAGATAAAAAACTTCAAAATGTATATCACAGTAAAAATTTCTATATTTTCAAAAAAATATTATTTTAAAATTTAAATAATTTTTTATGGCAATATTCTAATGTTTCATATCATAAATTATATTGGTTAAAATGAATTTTATGAGGTTTATCTATGTATAAACATATAAGGCTTAATCAGCCATATAATTGTATAAATAATGGAAATAAAAATTTAATTTATTTTTAAATGAATAAATGATTAAATGACATCTTTTTTTAAAAGATTTCAAATTTAAACAAAAAACATATGATTTAAGAATATTGAAAAATAATATATATATTTATATTTTATAAAATGATAGAAAAACAAAATTTTAATAAAAAGGAATATTCCTGTGTCAAAAGTTTTCTAAAATGAATTTAAAGCAAAAAATTAAATTTGCAGGAAATTAGAAAATATTCTGGTTCTTTCTTCCAGTGATTGAAAATTGGAACTTC